TCACGTGTATTTTTATTTAAAAAAATGTAAAATGTTTGATTTTTTTTTGAAATTTTTTGGATGTTTTTAAAAAAATTCAGGTAAAAAGTAAATACACTTAATATCTTACTATACTGCTTCCTTCCTCACATGATATTTTATGATTTTTTGTCATAAATCCTCCCCCCCCTCGCCCTAAGAACTTCACTTGATTATTGGACGCCTCCTTATGATCTTGTTAATTGAATGTTTTCTTAAAATTTGGTACTTACTACTAAATTATGCTTGAAGTTAGAAAAAATTCTTTGATAATATGTAATCTTACCTTAAAAGAAAGTATGAAAGGCTTTTGTTATCTGAAATAAAAATCACAAAAACAATATTTTTTTATGAAATCCTTCTAATGTTAATAGACCAGTTCAGGAAAAAGTAGATGTGCAATAATATGTTGAAATTTTTTTTTATCTCATTCAAATGTTTGAGAGTGGAGTACTTTGTATAGCTTGCTATGAAAAATAAATTCAAAAAAAAAATGTTTGAGAGGATTTGTCTATTATGAGTTATGGGTTGCATGCAATTTGTAGTGTCCAATGCAATAACCCTTCAAATGATAGAGTATTTCAAGTGTATTCTATTGATCGTTGGTCGACCCATTCTCCTGTCGTGTTTTCCAACTCCGAGAATATATATTTCCTATTATAACATAGCTTTTATTTCCTAGAATTCCTGACGCAATTGATGATAACTGCGCGTCTTTTGTAGGTCTTCTCAAAAGTTTTTATCAAAGGGTTGATATTCTTTTCAGATATTGTAATAAAAAAATCTATGTATTTGTGCTATTTATAAGTAATTGATAAAGAAATTACACTGTATGTATATCTATACATACATATAAAGTAAGAAATCTGAGGGCAGAATAATTTATTATTGGTAATTCTTCTTGTATTCAACTATTTTTTAGTTCGTTACAAGTATTGTAAAATATTATGTAACACTAATTTAATTAAAAATATTTTGTTGTTCTGTTTGGATTTCATTCTTAGTATTGACATTTTGAAAGAATGTTACAATCTCGATTCATACACATAAAATTGAAAATGCTTTCACTTTTAAATACATTTACAATAAACATTAATTAATTGATTTTTGCAATAGCAATAATTCTCATTGTCAGAGTTATTTCTCGGTTTATTTTCATGGTCGTCTAGTACAATTTTCAGGAGTACTGTTTTTGCATATAATTCACCTAGCCACTAGATCGCGGAAAAGCCCCCATGTGTTATTTTAATAATAACCTTATCACATTAACTTCTAGTAACAAATTCAGCACATTATTAAATAATAAAGTTAGCATATTAATACCAGACACTTGGTCATTGCGTTGATTATTTGCTGAATCAGTTTTGCTGAAAATTGCATTTGAGATAAACGGAGGAAGCGCACCTGTGTGGATAGTCGTGCAAACATCTGCTATCTATTAAGTGAAACTCAGCAATGCATTATCTCTTCTTCGGAAGTCAGTTTATTTTCCGAACGAATTTCTGAATACCACCAAGCTTTCAAAGGATTCTTTGCTAAGCAATTTCACAGAAGACTATTCCTGACAAAGTCAGGACTTGTTTGAAGTTCGAAGGACTTATGTAATTAATTGAATGTTGTTAGGGCGGTAGCTGATAAAGAGATAAAAGTTAGGTTCCAGGTGTTACTCTTATGTTAAAACTGCACCAAAAAATTAGGAATAAAATATATAAAAATTTGATTTGTATTGGTTGATTTTTTTGTCAGTATCGAAGAGATTAGAACTTTATTGATAATCCCGATAATTTTAATAATATTGTATATATTTTATTTGTAATATATTTTTATTTCAACTAAAACGTTGAACAATTACACTTCATGTAATTGTAAATGCACCGTCAAAATTCTTCTATTCCGCCAATAAGCGAAACTAGAACGTTTGTTTTAGAAATTCATATTAAAATGAATTATCCAGATTTCTTAGAGACATTATTGACATTTTGAAAGATTATTTGATTGTCGATTCATATACATAAAATTGAAAATCTTTTCACTTTTAAATATATTTGCAATAAACATTAATTGAGTTTCGCAATAGCAATAACACTCAGAGTTATTTCGCGGTTTACGTTCATGGTCATCTACTACAATTCTCAGGAGGACTGTTTTTGCATATAATTCACCTAGCCACAAGAAATAATAAGATCTTCTAAATATTAATCAATAGCTTGTCGCCACTTCTGATGAATAACATCTAACCCATCTAAATTTATGACTAAATATGCCTCAATGAATACAAAATATTATAAAAGAATTAGAAGGATTTTTTGGTTTTTGAAAGAGAAAAAGTTTCATGAGGTTCAAGTCATCCTAAATGCTTGGACAACAAAATAGGAAAAAGCATCAGTTGGTAAATGTGCACACTAGTTTTTGGTGAAATTCGAACTGTTTCTTCGTAATCAATTACTGAAAGAATGAAACATTGCACAATTACAAGGTTCATAAATTGAAAGAGCATTCTAAAAAGTGGTTTAATTACAAAAAATCATTAAAGTTCACGCGGTTAATGGCGATGGAACTTGATTTAAAGGTCTTGGATTTGAGGCCCACTCCGAGCCAGCCTGTTGTCAAGCAGTAGTGACAACAGTTATTACTTGGAAATACATAGCAATAAGTGTCCATAGACCTTGAAAAGATCTTGAAAATAGACCTTGTCCGGCATTGCTGCGCCAATAACAAGTCAGCCCTATTAGATAAATTCTTATAATAACATCGTCAAATATTTATGCATTAACCTTTGGGTAACCATCTAAAAATACGAATTAAGGAGAAGTTTTTGTCAGCGCAACAGCTCATAGGACGTAAGGTTCTGATTGCTGTTAAGATATGAGAACAAAATAAATTAAAGTTCACAATTCGAAATGTTACCGAATACCGAAAAGTTTATGCAACTTGCTTTAAGGCAAAATGCAATTTGCACCTTCCTCTTAAGTTAAAGTTATTATAGTAACAATCTAATTTAGATAAAATATTGTTTTATGATTTTGATAGACAATTCCCTTTTATATTTCTTTGACTGTTATATAGATTACCAACACAAAATCGTTAGAAATATATTATGTTTCTAATACTTTCTTACATCATGAATTGTAGACTTTTTTACATCATCTCCAAGTCCCAATTATCATTGCCTATTACAATTTATTTGTACCAAATGAATTATAGAATAAAATACCATAATACACCACTAATTGCTATTAGTCAAAATAAATTTTAGACGATTTCAGCGGAAGAAGCATTAGAAATTTCTCATTGAAATTAAAGTAGACAGGAAGCTCGGTCGTCGAAGGCAGACGCGGCACTTAGTTATAGATTCATGACTTGTGACTGACAACGACATCAAGTAGGTATTGTCAGTATTGTCACCCGATGAAAGCATTGTCTATAGACACTTTATTGCAACCGGAACGTTTAATATTTAACGCATCCGTTTATACAGGATCCTCGTCCTGGTCTCTTGAATTTATTTTTTTCGGAGTTAAGTTGTTGGTCGTTATTTAAAAATTGTTATTCGTTGCACTAAAAATACATCCTTAAATATTACCTAATTTTAACACATTACATTTTTTTAACTTCCTGAAAAAATGTTCCACAAAAGGCGAGACGTTAAATTTGTTTTCCCGATGTTTTAAGTCACTGTGAATTCGTTGAGACCAAAATTGGAATAGTTTTGTGAGAGTTTGTATCAATGTGTGTGTTGCTAAATGAACCAAAATTACAGGACCATCGTCCTGGTATCTTGAATTTATTTATTCGGAATTAAGTTCTTGGTCGTTATCTAAAATTTTTTATTTGTTGATTCAACCTCCTTGAATCTTATCTAATTTAAACAAATTAAATTGTTTTAACTTCCTGAAAAACGTTCCAGAAAAGGTGACTCGTTAAATTTGTTTTCCTGATGATTGATGATTTTAAGTGAATTGTTTGAGACCAAGATTGGAATAGTTCTGTGGGAGTTTATATGAATGTTTGTGTTGAAGTATAAGCAAAAATTTGACTTTTGGTTGGCGTTTTATTGAAAACTGGCTTATAATATTAAAGAAGATGAAACTTCATAAGGTCTAGCGCTGATTAGTTTTAGGAGATGATCGACCAAGCTGTTTCTAAAAATTGCCAGAAAAAATCTTTTGTCTATCTTTTCGTCAAAATACTGCACCCATTTTGAATATTCAGAACAGTTTTCGGTGAAGATTCGTCGGGCCGTTTCTTCGCAATTAATCAATTTTTATTACTATTTTAAGGAATTTTAAGGAACTGAGCCGTTTCTAAATAAGTGGTAGAATTGTTTCTTTGTTAAAAATATCGTTTAAAAAAATAATTTCGTAAACAATTTTCAAAATCTCATCGGTTCAAAAAATAACTAATCTATTTGAATAACATTTTTTGCATAATATAATAAGTACTATAACTAAAATATAATATTGATCTAACATTAAAGTCGTATTTTATGTAAATTACAATTATAAAAATTATTCAAAAAGTAACAGAAAAAATCCTATCCAAGATTCGATTCAAGTTTAGTTATTCTTGACGAGATGTTTTCATTCGATGCTAGATGGACATACGATATTTACGAAAAAATTATATTATTATATTTTATTTTTAATTACTTCATAAAAAAATATATTATTGATGTTTTTGTAAATATCTATAAAATAATTATTTAAAATTTAATTGTTAAATCTGTATACATAATTATTAAAAAATATGAATGCACGTCAGCATTGCAACTAATCATTTCCCTGATATTGATAAAAGCGCTAATTTGCTGATTAATAATTTTATAAACAATATTTAATAATATAAAGTTATACACTTATATATTTTGGAGATATTTTGGCAATGATTTTGAAACACTTTTCAATTAAAAAATAAATAATATAGGTTTTTTTATAAAAATGATTCGATTATTTATTAATTTTCTTATAATTACAATTCTTGGTCGTTAAGTGTAACTACATATTATAATATATGCGTTAACTTTAAATAAGCGTAATGAATTTTCAAAAATTAGCACACAAGTCCACCTTCTCCGCCACCTCCTCCAATCATGTCCAAAATATCTTGCAATGTCAATTTACTTAAAACTGGGTTTAAGATTTGTTTGGCAATAGTATCTACACCAGTGGAAATATTTTGTTGATTTTCAACTAATAAATCAGGGAGCACGTCATTCAAAATTGCGTTGATCATTTCGCTGAGGTCTGGGTTGTTCATTAAACCATCGATTTGGAACTAAAAATAGATATTTAATATTTAGGAAATTTATTTTTGGTAAATATAATTTGTTAGAAAAAAATTCAAATATTTACGTTCATTGCTCCAACAGAAAGCAAAAGTTTTACTTCAGCTAATTCCAGATATGTAAGGTCTTTCAAACGTAATTTAATATGACCTGCAGCTGTGATCTGGTCTAATTGGACATCGAAGGGTCCTTTACCACTAATTGGTACAAGATTGACCAATTTTCCAACAATATCATACAGACCTATTGACAAAAAGATTTAAATTTTATGAATATAAATATAAAATGTTAATGAATATTAGATTTCTGAAAATTTTTGGTACCTGTGGCTTTGATTTGTTCAATTGTTACATTGTAGTCAACCTTCAGCAAAACCAAATTTAATTTAAGGGAAGTAAAGTTGAAGCTTGATAATCCAGAAACATGCAAATTGTCAAGACCTCCATTTACCCTATAAAAAAATATTAGATTTTAACGACAGAGTGAAAAGTTTAATTTAATTGCTAAATATAAATGAATATGTTTATATATACAAATAATAGTGAAATACTCTGAGACCTGAGTTAACATAAAAATTGTTTCAGGAGTATGGTTAATTTAAATTTGAAGTTAACTAACTACTTGATATATCGTATATATATGTACATAAACATACACACATATACCACCTGTGTGTATGTGTGTGTTTAACACCTGTATAAACCTGTGTGTGAAAAGCTCGAATAAAAATAGCTATTTCTGGTGAATGCTACGGAAGCATAAATCATCATTAAGTGTTCATAAAAGAAAGAAATATGTTTCTTAATTATAGCAATTAGTATGGCAATCAATATTATCTTATGATAAATAGCATATCTTTTTTTATTGATGATAATCGATATACTAGCATGCGTAGAGAAATATATTTTAGGGTCAGTATTTTTCATTTAAGTGAAGTTTTAAATATTTAATATTTCTAATATGAAAATGCAAATTAAAATGAAATATAGGTGGAATGTATAACCTACGTTGCAATATCTGGAATTTCAAAATTGGTGTCCAAATGCTCAGCGTCCAGAGGGTCCAAAACTTTTCCTCCGGTCAGTTCACCGCCTTCTCTCAAAATTTTCGCAAACATTCTACAATAGCTAAATTTTGTCTTCAAGTGCGCCTCTTTGAAGACCACGAAGTTTTGAATAAGTTACCACTAATAAAAAATAATAAAATACATATATTGAATATATTCAAAATAATTCTAATTTAAACAATCCATAATACTTACAAGAACTGACATCGCGATTTAAAGAAACTCGTCCAGCTGAAGCAGCTACGGCTAAGAAGCCGAGAATGATGATTGCCAATTTCATTTTCTATATGAAAAATATTACTGATACATAATTTATGAATAATATTTTATAATGTTTATCTTTAAACACAACTTTAAATACAAGTAATAGTAATATTACATCAAAATTTATTTATTAATTTGTAAATGGCTGCTTCTTTATCACGTGGACCAACTTGTTATAAAATGAATGCACTGATTTTTAAAAGTCTAAGTACCAATTTGATGATTGGTTTAAATATCCATTAAAAAAATAATAAGACTATGGCATTATAAAATAATAATATTGATGAAAAATTTTAAAATTATATATATATATAATTAATTTTCTCATTAATTACTCACCTTGATTCAAATACACTTATCAACCCACTAACCGAACATCTGATATTTTCCATCAATTTATAAGTTTTTATAACAATGATTTAGATTACTGAGATAAAATGTTCTGTATCGTATCAAAAATAATAAATAAAATCATTGAAGATAACAGTTTTTTACTATGGCAATTTAAGTAATCGAATTCCAGATTTATGATAATTGAACGATAGCATTATTTACAAATCAAAAATTAAATTTCGTCCTAAGATAAGTTAGAATTTTGTACGAGTTTGCGTAAACGAGATTGAAAGAATGTTTTGCAATTTTTAATTTATTATTTTAATTTATTATCATCACGTTTACGATTATTGACAGATTTCCTATTTAATATTGTTGAAACCAAAATAAAAGTCTAAATTATAGTCATTAATGCTAAATTATAGTGCCTTGTTGTAATTGATATATTGGTCAAATTACCTAATATTCCTTAAACTGTTTATTTTTAATAATTGAGAAAAGTTATGAAATATTATTAGAAATTGAATAAAAATTTCACCATGAAAATAAGAAGTTATGTTAAATTAAACATACATGAATGTTGTTTTAAAATAGATTTGTGATACAAAGACGATGAGCATTTCTTAGTTGTAAGTTTAAATAACTGAAATTGAAAATAAAATGCATTTTAATATATGTTAAAAATTTAATATTTATTTTTATGCATTGAAGTTAGTTTTTCTCCTTCAATGACTTCAATATTTTTTTATAATTCTTAAGATGACTAGTGACAAAT